GTATAGTTACCCTACTTATCACCCCTACTTCTAACTACCCATGAACCTTCGAGTAGGTTTAGCAAAAAGATTCGTGTTGGAGCCGTAACGAGTACCCTAATGAGTACCCTAGCCGGGTTACCCTCCTAATTGGGGATATCATTCCTATGATGCTTCATATAACCTACGTGCCATCCTCGAGCCCTTTCAGTATTCTACTTCTCATCGTACATGCCTCGCCCAAACTGCTGAGATCATGATCAGTCATCATTCATGTCCAAAGTGGTCCTGAGGCCAACCTTTGCAACCTTTCATCTGGATCGGTATGCTCACCAACATGTTCAGTGACATGTGCGTGGCTACCGTCAGTACATGGCCATCCAATGCCTCCATTCAACATCCATTGACACAACCATCACCATCATCATCAGTACACCAACATGATCGTCACTATTGCCACGCCGCCAATAGTCTACAATTCTCACCCGTAAGCCCTCTGAGCCTGAAACTTCCACCCCTTGATTCAGCGTTACATGTTCCTCATGGAACGCTTCAGCACCTAAACGCAAAACCCCTAAACCCTAAACCCCGAAACTCGAAACCCTAAAATCCGCAAACCCAAAACCCCGAAATCCCAAACCTTAAACTTGCCTGGAAGGACTCAGAGGTACGCGGCCACGTAGGAAGAGTAATCCGGTTCCTGTCTCGCTCTTTCGGGGCTTCGAGGTGATACAGTAGAAGCCCGAAAGTTGGAAACCCGATAGCCTCAATCCTTAAGAGCAATAAAGAGGCAATCCCAGCACTATTTGGCCTTAATCCGGTTTCCAACTTTATGGGGTCTGCTGTAGGAGGTTGGGGCTTTCCTTTCCAACTTGCAATCAAGGCTTAGGATTTAAGAGTTTTACGGTTTCAGGGTCTCATTTGCATATTCTGAGGTTTCGGGCTTCGGGTTTAGGCTTTGGGCCTGGGATTGCTCCAAGGTTCTGAAGGGTCTCTCGGCTCCAGAAATTCCTCGAAATGATCTAGTCCGACTGGTTCGCGTGATGTGGCCAGGCCTTTGCAATGAGTTATAGGTAGCTTGGCATACAGCGGACCATAGGGCTCAGGGTTTCAGGTTGGGGGTTAGGGCTTGCCGCTACAAGCTTCGAGCCCATCACGTGCCGCGTGAAACTTGAATAAGGATAGCAACAACAATGCTGATAAGAACAGTCGTAATGTCAACCGCAAAAGTAGCAGTCGTTGAGTAAGAGAAAGAATGACAGCTATCTTAATTTGTCCGAGTAAGAGTAAGAAGGTAACAGTCAGAGTAGTTTGTAGTATAGGTGGTAACAGTAATAAGAGCAGCAAGATCAATGAGACTGTTCCCGCTAATACTGTTGAAATAACGATGATAGCAATAAATACAAAAACAACAGTGTTACTACTCATTAACTACAAAACAATCATCGAATCCAGCGGAGCTCGGAGGGCTTTGGGACTTTTGGGTTTAAGGGTTTGGGGTTTGAGGCTTCGAGATATGCAGAGTGGCTAAGTACCCTATAGCCCAAAACAGGTTAACCTTCTGAAGAAAAAGGTACGATGGTATAAACCCCAAGAGGCTAAAGGTCACTTACTCAGCCACTTAATGTGGACTCTATGGCCTGAGGGCTTTAGGCATGAGGTCTTAGGAACTTTGGGTCTTGAGCCCGGTGATAAAACTGAAGCTAGGACCCTTCCCCAAAAGCCACACCCTCAACCTCAAATACGTGAACTTCGAACCTTTGCCATGGCTCAAAGAAAACTGATGTCCTAGACCCTGAAAGCTCTAAACCATGACGTTTTAAAACTCATAACCTGAACCCTAAACACTCCCGTACAACCCGATACAACTCTTTACAAGCCTGTGCAACTTTTCGCAACCCTAACCTAAGCTGTAAGCCCTACAAAACCCGAAAGCCTTAACCCTAAACCCTACAAACCCTGAACGCTTAAACTCCACAGAGGGCCCCAAAGCCTCACCGTCACCCTGCTCGGGGGGCTCCCTGGCCACGAAGACTTTGCAGTTACACCGGCTTGGCTTCCTACTTGAAGGATCTTGGGACTTAGTAACTAAGGTTATCATTAAGGTAACTTATAACTACCAATTACCCCAATTAAGGTACTCATAACCTGACTTACTAAGTCCCCCGATCCTCCAAGTAGGGTTTAGGGTTGAGGGTCTAGGTGTTGTGTGTTTTTGGTAGTTTAGGCTTTGGGGTCCAGGCTGGATGCAAACAGGTTCAAGTATGCAGGGGCCTTAATTCATGGTCAGAATAGGCTTTGGGGGGTAGCTTGTAGCATGGCTGTGTAGGGACTATGAGGGGTACTGTTTCTGATCACTCACTCTCCTATTGTCTATGCATTCTGTAAAGGCAAGGGTGTTGAGGTCTAGGGATTTCGGATGTAGGGCTTGCAAGGCTTAAGGGATGCAACTTCTGCAAAACCTTAAGGCTTACAGGGTTGAGTGCTTTTCCGGGTCCTGGTGAGTTCAGTCACTGGGGCTTCCGGATCCCTAAACCCTTAACCTACGCCCTTAACCAAAGCCAAAACTCCAAAACCCTAAACCAACCCTAAACCCTAAACTCCAAAACCCTGAACCCTAAACCCTAAGCTACACCATTGACCAAACCCTAAACTCCTAAACTCCAAAACCCTGAACTTCCAACTGGTTCAGGGCTTTGGCTCTGGACCTTGAAGCCTGAACCTTAAACTCTAAACCTTGGGTGCAGTCTATATTAGGAGTCGGATGGAGGGCTCTAGAAAGTTATACTACGCGAATGTTATCCAACTGTTCCAGAGTGCGGGCAATACCCAATGTAAACTTCGAAAACTTCACGCCTGCCTGAACCCTTACCCAAAACCGTCACGTAGCGAATCCTCATCTCGAATTCTCTTGCCCTCAACTTGCTCTAGGGGGGGGTGTAAAACTGGACGAAGGGTTTCGGGGTAGTCATCTTAGGCTACAACTATATATTCAGGAACCCCATAACAAAACCTGTCTAATCATTCCCGAGACTACCCTAGACCCTAAACCCTAAACTCTAAACCATTCCCGAGGCTACGGGGGCGGCCTCCCCGTGCGCCGGGCGATGGCACGAGCTAAGGCATCCATTCGCCCTGGCCCTGTCCGCCAAAGTTCGCCTTTTCGACTGGTGATTACTTGGAGGTTCACGGGTAGTTAAAAGTAGGGTTATAAGTCCCCTAATATGGTTTAGAAGTATAGTTACCCTACTTCTAACTCTACTTATAACTACCCATGAACCCCCAAGTAATGCTACGGCTTGAATGATAGGCCCCCTAAAATTCTTTTTGAAGGTTGTAGAGGTGATCTCTATAGGGGTAATGTTACGGCTTGAATCAGAGGCCCCCCCCCCCCCGCCCCCCGACTTAAGCTTTTGTCTTGAAGGAATCTGATGTCAGTGAGCCATCGGACCGGGGTCAGGCTCTGGTCTGGGTGGCTTTGATTGATTACCTTGGGTCCCGGGGTTTGGGGGCTGGCTCAGGGTTCTAGGGCGAGGGGTGGGCTTAAGAATGTTGGGCTTCGGGTTTAGGGAGAGTTTCGGGCTGGAGGGCCAGGGTTATTTAGGGTTTGGTTTTAGTTCTGGGAGTAGTCGACGGTTTGGGGTTGAGGGGGGTGAGATTCGGCTCAAAGGTGATGATTTAAGGTTTAGCCTTAAGTAAGTGGGGTTTAGGGAGAGTTTCGGGCTTCAGGGCAAACTCCCCGCAGCCAAAAAAAACGCATTAATTAGGCCACCGTTTTTTGGGTACCAGCTTGAATAAGGAACAAAAAACGCATTAAGGAGGCACGCCGGATTAAACAAGCCGTGGCATTACGGAGGTTTACGGGTTTAGGGCCTGCGAGATTTCACTACTGTAAGGGGCCTTAATGATTAGAATAGGGTTTTGGGGGTTACTTATGGTAAGAGACCCTAAAAGAGCTTAGGGTTTAGGGTAGAGGGTTTGGATCTTACTAGAAACCCTAATATGGATATTTATATCGGGACACTGCGAACAAGTAGGGTTTTGTAAGTTAAGGTAGACCCTCAACCTCAGAACCCTAAAATCCACCAAACCCCATGCAAACCTCAAGACCCGACCCCCAGCCCAACCCCAAGATTCAAGAGCCCTCAACGACCGACCCCTATCCGATCTTGAAGGGGGCCTAGAAGTTGCCGCTCTCGCATGAGGGCGATGGGGAGGGGCTCCTGCAACCATCCCTCAAACTTTGGGACTGGATGACCGTACTGTATACTTTGGGTTCGAGGTTTAGGACTGGGATTTAGGGTTTCGGGGCTAGGATGGCAACTTTGGGTTCAAGGTTTAGGATTAAGACTTAAGGTGTTTTGGTAGAGTTCTTGCCTTATCGGCTGCTGACAAGGGGCCTTGACAAGGGGGTTTGATGGTGTTACATGGGGAACTGCTCTAGACCCTAGACCCTAAACCCTAAACCCAAAACCCTAAACCCAAAACCCAAAACCCTAAACCTCAAACCCTAAACCCTAAACCCTAAACCGGTCTGGCTAAGCTGGTGGTAGGGACATGGAGGAGCCTGAAGGGGCCCTCAAGTGCGAGAAAGCTTTCGGAGTCTCTGGGCCACGGATGAAGTTTTCCAAAGTACTGTCCTGCTTGAGGATCGTTGCTAAAGTGAGCTCCCACTGGATTTTGAAGGATTCTACAAGGATTCTGCAGGGGTGTTACGTAGTCATAGCAAGGTCACAAATAGCTCTCAATTGCGGGTCACTCTAAATCAATGAATGTTCCTTTGAGTTCTCGAACTGGCACTAGAAGGAGCATTTACAGCGGAGGAGGCTTCCGAATCTCGCTTCTTGTCCTGCACGGTTTGGAAACTGGCTTCGGGGGCCAGCATCGTAAATGGATTTGAAAGGACAATAACTCTGCACTCTGCCCGGCATTCATTTTAGATGAACGCCTGAAACCTGGATGTTGAGGTTGAGGTCTAGTAGGGTTGACGGGAGGATTGGGATGGCCAAGTTTTTCCCTCTTCAACCTGCTTCTTCCTCTGTACAAAGTGAGGCCTCGAGGCCTTTCGGCACTCGGGGACTCGGCATGCTGAATTTCTGGTCACAGCGCGTGGCCGTGCAGGGCTTGGAGAACAACGGGTCGTCCTCCTTGGCTGCCGCATGCCAAAACCCAAAAAGACTAATGCCTCAATCCTAAACCCTGAGACCCCAAAGCCCTAAGCTTACAAATCTAGATTGTATAATTACAAGATGCTCCGAGTTCTGACCGTTACAGTGATGTGGTTTCTAGTCTTTTTGTCAACCAGTGTCAACTCAGCTCTAGACTCTAAACCCTCAACAACTCTAGGCGCCTCAATGATTAGACTAGCTAGGATTTGGGGGGTATAATATGGTTGGTGGATGCTCGTGGCAATTACTCCGACCTCTGCATTTCGTTGGCCCTTGAAGGTACGTTTGGATTTGATAAGACGAAAGCCAGATGAAAACAACGGCCTACTTGCTCGAGACTCCAAGTGGAATCCCAGAACTCCACGCATGCGCGAATCGCTCTAGGATTTGTTGGCGGAGAATGCTCTTCTGCAGATTGGAAGCTTCATGATATTGAGAGTTTGAGCCTCTGACCACTACACTGACTCACATTTGGGGGGAGGAGGGCGAATAGAAATGTTTCCGACCTCTGTGGGCTTGCTGAGGCTTACATCATGTCTTCGGGATGATAGAAACTAACTCTTGCTATCCCAACCCAACCCAAGTACACCCGGAACCTTATAAGGCTAAACCTGGAGCCCGAAGCTCTGAACGCCTGAACCGAGAGCCTGAATCCCTGAACCCTCCGTGGTGGCTTTGCTTACCTTGGGTTAGTAGGGAATGGAGAAAGGGGGTACAATTATACCACTATTACGACCATTCTGCCATTCCCTGCTAACCAAAGGTAAGTAAGCTCTGACCACCTGAACCTAAATCCTGAAACCCTGAACCCTCCGTGGTGGCTTTGGTTTTTTGGGTGCCATGGTCTCTTTTAGGGGTGTAGAGTTTATAGTTTCGGTCGGGGATTTAGGGTCCCTTTTAATAGAAGCCCCTTACAGGTAGGTAGTTCCTCTTCCATAGTACTCCCATAAGACCCCCTTTACCTTATAGGAGTGGTATGGGAGGCTTATGGGAAACTACCCACCTTATAACTACGCACCTGTAAATGTCTTAGATTTAAAAGGGATCTCCACTTCGGGGCGCTCCCAAGGCGACGTGTCGAATGTGACGCCCACCCAAACCAGCACGCATACTTAAAGGATCATGGGACTTCGTAACTAGGCTTCCGTAAAAGGGCTCCTTTAAAGGGATCTGTAGGGGTTCCTTAAAGGGATCTATAGGGTTTAGGCTAGGATTTGGGGTCTACTTGAAGGATCATGGGACTTAGTAACTAGCCTTCTAAATAAGGTTACTATACGTATAACCCCGATTAGGGTTCTTATAACCTAACTTCCTAAGTCCCCTGATCCTTTCAGTAGGCTTTGCTTTTCGGGTGCAATAGGCTTCGACTCAGCTAGGTGAACACTTGAAGGGTTTATTTAGGGTTCAGGGAACACGAAAATGGTAAGTTTGGGGTTTAGAGATTTGGAGTTTAGGTTTTAGGGTCCCAAAACCAGACTCCTTAACACAAAGGTAGTTGCTATACTGAACTTAGAACCCTAGCAAACATTGTAATTCTAGCTGTTTCTTAGGGATCATAATAACCAAAAATTAAAAACTATTTCTAAGTACCCCTAAAGTAAGGTGCCGGTCTGACTGGCTGCTCCATGAGCAAGATGGCGCAGCTGTGATCTTGAAGATTCGGCACCAGTCCTTGGTAAAAGGCATCAAAGATGAGAACCAGGCTTTGGGGGCATATGGTACTATGCTGAAAAGCACCCTAATGTAGGAACCCGATGAAGAAACCTTGGGCCTTTATTAGGACTCCTTGTTTGAATCCTACTACTTTGGGGTTATAGGCCCAGGGTTTCTTAATCAGGTTCCTGCATTAAGGAAGAGTATTTCTGCTATTCGTGCTTCTATGCCAAACCATCCCTGGACCTCCAAACATCCCGCTAAGAGGCTACGGTTTATCAACTTTCGGGCCAGTGGTCGGTCCTGCCTGTTCTTACCTTTGGTTAGTAGGGAATGGAAGAATGGTAGCAATAGTAATTACAATTGTACCCCATTCCTCCATGTCCTACTAACCAAAGGTAAGTGTTGCGGGGTTGCAAGCCTTCAACCAAAAAAAGCATTCGGAAGCTACGAGGCTAGGGTAGTCATGGTAGTCGTAGAGGCAAAAGTGATGGTAGCTTCGGGGTTTAGGGATCAGGGTGTTAAGGCTGGCAGGGTAAGGAGGGTTCAGGTTCAATCAGGGGTGTACGCTGAGCCTTCTGCGAGTACTAGCATAGGACCGTGTGACGGTTTGGGATGCATTCACGTGGGAGTTTCCGAAAATGGGTGACCCCGAAGATAGTACCCTAAATAGTAGTACCCCTAATTTTCGGCAACTCCCATATAACCGGGCTTCGGAGGATGCATGGGTGCCTAGGATGCTTCTCGATTTCGACGCTGGGCTTCCTTAGGGCTTCGTGGGCTTCCTTCCGGCTGCCTGGACACGCACTGGAAACGCCAAGTCCTCCATCATGTACTCCTCCGTGCCCGCTTTGCACAAGTTGAGGCACAGGTTCTTGCAACCACCAGACTCTTCGATGAACTTGCACCTTGCGGAGGCTATGGCACGGATCGGATGAGGATATGTACCCACCGTCGCAGCTGCCCGAAGATATGTCAAACAGGAGCTGAACTAGCGGACTTCAGAATTCTCAAGAGGCTTGTGGGTACATCTTAGAGTTTAGGGTGTATGGTCTTACTACAGATATGCTTTGGAGCACTACAAAACAATTTAGTGATCAGCCCGGCCCCTAGCTTATATATCGTGTAGCTGCTACATGGGGCGATGGTGAAATTGGGAACGAACCAGACGTGACGCGCAAGCAGCATGGAGGACAGAACTTCTCCCACTGGCAAACTGTCCTTCAGGACCTCTTGAACACTTGTGCAAATCATGCATGTGGGCTTGCAAACCTTGTTCAGATGCATCCCTTCGAACCAATAGCTATCATTAGACTCTCATCGTTTAGCCCAACTCTCAACGTAGCTCATTGCCTTCAGCATGATCGTGATGGCTCTTTGCATTCAGTATATAGTCTGAGTCATGTGAGTCCCACTAGCCCGGTGAACACTCCCTAACCATATTCTCAGGGCAGCGCTTCTTCAGCATCATCACCCCACTTGGAGCCACATCGATGCCGTCACTTCGCAACTGCTGGATCAGAGTCTCCTCCTGTGCTCCGGCTAAGGTCTGGAATGTAGGCGTTTGGGACCAGGGGCAAAAGCCTGAGGGGTGGAGCCAAGGAGGGTCACGGCAGGCAGTTCTACATACTCTACCTTACCTACGACTATATAATATAGGGGCCTTAATAATTCGAACACGGTTTTGGGGCCCATTGCCCAGCAAAGCCAGTTCTTGAGAGCAGAGCTTCAGAGCCAAGATCTCGCATATCGGGCCAAAACCGGCATTCCTGTAGAGTAAACCCCAAAAAGTTGGAAACCGGATTCAGGGCAAGAAGTGCTGGGATTCCCTATACATTACTCTTACGGATTGAAGCTACTGCGTTTCCAACTTTTGGGCTTCTGCTGTAGTGAGGAGCTCCACCCCCCCGTCTAAAGGGAACTCCAGAAAGTTGGAATATGGTTTCAGGGTAGGATACCCTATAGTTTACCTTAAAAGGGATACGATAATGATATTCCAACTTTCTTGCTTCTACTGTAGCTGACTCAGACAATAATCAACTATTGGCCTGAAGATTCCTCCGTTATGCGTACTCCAAACCCTAAGTCCTATCCCAGAAGACCTATACCCTAAATCCAATGCCCAAACTTGACAGCTCTTCAAAATTCCCCTAACAACTGGAAAGTTCTGCAACCTGCAAACTACTAAAGCCATGATGAAACCCTGCAAATGCCCAGTAAATCGTCAAGGCAAGCCCCGATGAACCCTTTGAGCTTCTTCAAAAGACCTGCTAACACCCCCTAATCAAACGCCTGAGCAGGAACACTCTACACCCAAAAGCTCTTTGAACACTCTGTCAATTATGAAAAATGGCCTCCTCCTCCGAGAGCACTCGGCTCTCCCCCACGAGCCATCTCGATCCGGCTGCGCCGAAGGTGGAAGTGCCGAATCTCGGGCGGCTGTCAAAAAATTGTATGAACACAGTAGGTTTTTGGATGAAGATGTTTGATTTATTGCGGGTTTAGGAGTTTAGGCTTTGGGATGTCAGGTTTAGGATTTAGGGCTCAGGGTTTAAGTTTTGGGTTTCAAATTTCAAGTTTAGCCGTAAGGTTGATCCGAAACGCCTGTATAGTTCGGGCTTAGGGCTTAGGAGTTTATGTGATACAGACATTATTATTTAGGGAACCCTAAGCGCTGCTACTATCATCAATCTGCAGTAGGGTTCTGCAGACGGCAAAGGCTGCAAAACATGTGACTAGTTCAGGGTAAGAATTCAGAAGTTGGGGTTTGCTGCAGGCTAGATGCTCCTTTGAGGGTGCAGGGTTTGGGGATCCAAGCCCATCGGGATTGGGGTCGGACGGTCCAGCTCTAAACAAGGACCCCAACTCATGAAAACCTAGGCATGCAAGGCTGAAAGACCTGAGGAAATGAAAGCTTTTCTGTGCTCTTCTCGAGGAACTTAAGTTTCACACAACACATCACCATAAGAAAGTACATTTTTGCTCTATATCCTTTTGAAATTTGTGGTAGCTGACTTTAAGTTCATGAAGACGGCAGTATTGTCTGGGTCGACGTGAGGTTTCCCGCGGCGACGCCTTCACCTTGAGTCCCCGAATTGGGGCCCATTATACTATAAATAAAATAAGGAACCCCCAAAATAGTATTGGCCATGATTAAGGCTCCGGGCCCTGCATTAGAGCAGCACCTTCTTGAAGCCAAGCTACCGGATGGCCGATTGGTGGACCTTTGGCCACAGCTTCAAGGTATTCCTTGGCTGCACTAAACCCTAAACCAGTTTGGCGTTCAATTCCTTTGAACAGGGAAGGAAGCAACTGATCTTCCTACCACCTTACCCTTTTCGCAGTGCCGTCGGATGAGAGTTTTTTGTACCCACAAGTATAAGTATAAGCACCCTAAAAGCTCTTGATTCCATGAAAGGTGAGAGCTGAGGGCTTGTGCTCGAGCAACCCGCTGCCGGCCACCCCCTGCGTGTCCTACACCGAGGAGGCACCAGCTCCCCGTGCGACTCTGCTGTACTTGAAAGGGCAGGGGACTTTGTAAGCCGTTTATAGGTAGGGTGATAAGTGTGGTAACTCCATTTAGGGTACGTATAACTCTACTTATAACCTACTTACTAAGTCCCCTGCCCCTCCAAGTAGGGGCCTAAATAATTACCAATACTATTTTGGGGGTTCCTTAGATTATACTTATAGTATAATGGGCCCCAAAACCCTAGTCTAATTATTAAGGCCCCTATACTACCTTGAATGTGTTGGAACGTCTCTTCATATGCTTGAACCGTCAGGGTTCAGTGGCCACTGGTGCAATGGCAAAGAAGAGCCCAGACTAAATACCATGATTTCAGTCATTCAAAGCTCCCGAAGCTGAAAATCCCAAAACCGCACGGTCTGGTCTAAGACCTGAAGTCTTTGAGGTTAAGGTTTCGGCCTCCCCAACCCCACTACAACCTGAAACCAAAGCCCGGAATGTCTGCAGTGATGTCCATAGCCAATACGTAATCTTGGTTGACGCCGTTGAAGCTGTGAATCCAACAATATATACGCTGACGACATTGACGCCGTTGACGCCGTTGACGCCGTTGACGCCGTTGATGCCGTTGACGCCACTGACGCAGTTGACGCCGTTGACGCCGCTGACGCCGTTAAGCCACTATCGTGTCATTTGGGGTTTTCATTTCCGATTGGGTGTTTCACCCTCCGAGTCCTGCCGTGGAAAGAAAGCAAAAAAAGCACAAAAAACACCAATTATGTCATGCTTTGAAGCTGAGTTTTGTGGAGCCAACACACATGTTTTCATGCTTTGGGCACACACATACACCGAAATATTTGTGCATATTTTAAATGTTTTGCATGTTTTCCTCTGGTGTGCTCAACTGTCGTTTTGCCAAATCAAACTTGTTGTCAGCAAATCACATGGGAAACCGTTTTTTAACACCACACATCACACTCATGGAACAGTTTTGCAGCAGCTATGAACACGACCCTAAACTCTTAAACCCTAAGCCGACTCCCTAAATCCCAAGTCTTAAACTCTTTGGTTGCTAGGGCTTAGATGGTTTTGGGTGCAGGGATATTAGTCTTCGGGGTCATTCAGGGTGCCTCGGTGGGGGTTGAACAAGCCCCCTCTTGGCTTAGTGGGGTGATAGGGTTATTCAGGGTGCCTTGGTGGGGGTTGAACAAGCCCCCTCTTGGCTTAGGCAAGTAGTGGGGTTTTTAGGCAGGTGCTGGAGTTTTTCAGGGTGCCTTGGTGGGGGTTGAACAAGCCCCCTCTTGGCTTAGGCAGGTAGTGGGGTTTTTTGCAGGTGTTGAGTTGTTCAGGGTGCCTTGGTGGGGGTTGAACAAGCCCCCTCTTGGCTTAGGCAGGTAGTGGGGCTTTATGCAGGTCTTGAGTTGTTCAGGGTGCCTTGGTGGGGGTCGGCTCGGGTTTTGGGGTTGGGGTTTAGAGTGCTTGCCCAGAAGCCCGAAGCAAGACCCTAAATGCCCAAATTCTTTAACCCTGAACCCTAAACCCAAACCCCCGAAGCCCTACTCCCCTGAGCTCTGAACATGATGCCTCATCCTGAATTGTAAGGCTAAACTCCTCCATAGCAATAGTTGCCAAGCCCCCAATTTGCACATGCCATCGACCTTCACCTCAGCCCTGGTAACCCTGAACCCCTGGACCTTATGCCCGAAACCCCGAACCACATAAACCCTGAACCTGAGGCCCTGAACCCCTTGACCTTAAACCCTAGCGCCGCTAACCCTGTCGTTGCAGGCCTTTGAGCCCTAACCTTTACACCCTAAACCCCCAAACCCTACACCTGTGGTGGCACAAGACTGCTTGCGCCCGACGACGAGGCATGGCATTCGCTTGCAACCGGTTGGGTTCTGTATTTTTCTCACACAACCATGAATTGAAATGATTCTTAGTTGCAGGGTTCTGCTGCAAAAAAACAGGTTGCAACCAGTTGCGTTCTGTAACTTGTGGCAAATCAGATGACTTGAATACAGGTTTCTGTGGCAAAATACAGATTGCAACCAGTTGCGTTCTGTAACTTGTGGCAAAAACATCAGTTCAGATGACTTGACTACAGGTTTGTGTGGCAAAAAACAGATTGCAACCAGTTGCGTTCTGTAACTTGTGGCAAAACCATCAATTCAGATGACTTGAATAAGGTTTCTGTGGCAAAATACAGATTGCAACCAGTTGCGTTCTGTAACTTGTGGCAAAAACATCAATTCAGATGACGGGAATACAGGTTTGTGTGGCAAAAAACAGATTGCAACCAGTTGCGTTCTGTAACTTGTGGCAAAACCATCAATTCAGATGACTTGAATACAGGTTTCTGTGGCAAAATACAGATTGCAACCAGTTGCGTTCTGTAACTTGTGGCAAAACCATCAATTCAGATGACTTGAATACAGGTTTCTGTGGCAAAACACAGATTGCAACCAGTTGCGTTCTGTAACTTGTGGCAAAACCATCATTTCAGATGACTTCAATACAGGCTTGTGTAGCTAAACACAGATTGCAACCAGTTGTGTTCTGTAGCTTCGTAGTAACAGTTGCGAGATCTAGGGCCGTTGAGATTGTCGGGTTTAGAGGTCAGGTTTAAGGGTTTCGGGCTAGTGCATCATGCATGTCACATCAGGCATGGCATGCCACATCATGTTCTGGTTCAGGGGTTTAGGGGTTCAAGGGTCACATCATACATGCCATTCCATGGCATATTCTGCTTCAGGGGTCTAGGGGTCGCAGCATACATGCCATAGCATGACATTTTGTGGTTTAGGGGTCACATCATGCATGTCATGCCATGTCATGTCATGTTCTGGTTTAGGGGTTTAGGGGTTGCATCATACATGCCATACCACGACATGTTGTGGTTTAGGGGTCACATCATGCATGTCATGCCACGACATGTTCTGGTTTAGGGGTTTAGGGGTTTAAGGGATCATACATGCCACCCCATGTTACTTTCTGCTTTAGGGGTTTAGATCATGCATGTCATGCCACGACATGTTGTGGTTTCGGGGTTACTTCACTCATGTCATGCCACGACATGTTCTGGTTTAGGGGTTTAGGGGTTTAGGGGTTTAAGGAATCATACATGCCATCCCATGTCACTTTCTGCTTTAGGGGTTTAGATCATGCATGTCATGCCACGACATGTTGTGGTTTAGGGGTTACTTCACTCATGTCATGCCACGACATGTTCTGGTTTAGGGGTTTAGGGGTTTAAGGAATCATACATGCCATCCCATGTCACTTTCTGCTTTAGGGGTTTAGATCATGCATGTCATGCCACGACATGTTGTGGTTTAGGGGTTACTTCACTCATGTCATGCCACGACATGTTCTGGTTTAGGGGTTTAGGGTTTAAGGGATCATACATGCCATCCCATGTTACTTTCTCGTTTAGGGGTTTAGATCATGCATGTCATGCCACGACATGTTGTGGTTTAGGGGTTACTTCACTCATGCCATGCCATGTCATGTTTTGGTTTGACATGTTGCGGTTTAGGGGTTACTTCAGTCATGTCATGCCATGTCATGTTTTGGTTTAGGGGTTCAGGGGCTTGGAGGTTTAGGGAGAGGGGGTTCATGGATCCTATGTACTCTGTGAAGCGGTCCCTCCAACACAAGTGCTCCAGGCGATTCAGCGGCTCGAGGGCTTCTTTGAGGACCTTGCCAAGGCATTGCACCTCCATAAGCAGGTCCACACCCTGTTGTCCAGACACACTCTTAGTCTTTTGCAACACTGCAATATCCGTCTCAGCACTATCCAAGCGCGAAAACACAGTGTTGAAGCGGGCTTCAAGCTCTCGGTAGGATAAAAGATTTTGGGGCTGCTGCCTTAAGATATCTCATGCTGAACATGCTGATTTGAGCAGCTTGCTGGCTAGATATGACGATGAAGCATCAACAAAAAGCTGTAGCTAGGAAAAGCAATGCGGCATGGATGCTTTGGTGCTCGGCAGTCTGTCGTTTGCATGGTGTGATTTCCCTACCAACAGAGATTTTCGGGCTCTTCACAAATCTCTGCACACGGGTTGGCCGCCGTGTGGGGTGCAGGTCCGGCTAGAAAGCACATGGGGTGTTGGGGCCAACTCGCAACGAGCCCGATGCGAATGACAGCGAGACGATGAGCTAATGTGCTCGCTGGCACCCCTGCTTATCTGGAGGCACGAGGTCATATCGTGCGGGGGCAGGGCCCACCCCGTGCCTATGGCCTCTTGCCGATAGACCGGAGTATCGTGCTGGTGGGAGGCTGTTGGGTTCCTGTGGGTCGTGGTGATGGCCCTACCGAAGGGGTGCCCGGCACATGACACAGGCACCTCTCACACCATTGGCCGGGTGTGGGGCAAGGGTCTTTGCACCGCTGGGGAATGTGGCTGCCTTGGGGCCAACCTGCCAGTGCCGGCAGATGACAGCAGGACGAATGGGCTAATGTGCCTGCTGGGGTGGCCACAGTCCTTGCTTGGCAGGTATCTGCTGAAGTGTGCAAGCCCTTTTGTACGGGAGGCCGTTGATAATCATAAGTGTTGTCTTTTCATGCTCATGATTTTGATGCTTGTGAGCCTTGACATTCTCAGCCCTACCTACACTGACTTCCCGGTTTGTGGGTTTTGGTCGGTGTGTTACCGTTGGCCGGGTGACAGGGCGGCCCAGGCACCTTGAAGCCAACGCCCCTTTCGAGGGGTATGACAGCGGGACGATGAGCTAAAGTGTCCGCTGGGGTGCTAATCTGCAGGCGGAAGGCAAG